ATTCTTCTTTTATCACGGCCGGTGGTGTGGGTCTTCCAGGCTGTGTGGCCGTGTTCTGGAAATTTTGTTTCCAGAACTTTCTGTGACCGGCATCTTGTCTGTGCTCCTGCCCTCTGAAGATGCCGGTCACAGATGCTGGCGAAACGTTAGGAAACAAAACTTCCAGAACACGGCCACACAGCCCGGAAGACCCACACCAGCCATCTTCTTTTATTGTTTCTTTTTGCCCCTAAAGCTACTGGTGTCATATTCATAAAGAAAACAAATACTGTTTTAAACATATTACCATATTCTTGTTAAGTGATTTGTTAAGTTCAGATTACTGTCCAAAACAAATCAACAAGTACTATGCCCCTGAGTATTTTGTGGGAGAATCAATATCACACAAAGATTGTGATACTTCCTTCTGATTTTTACATACATCACATACACACGCACATACATCAAACAGAAGCCAGTAATTTTAGAGGACCCAAAATGACCTTATAAATTATATCTGACAAATAAGGAGAGAACACCGGGGTATCTAAAACAACGCTAACCATCTGATGCCCCTTCCGATACTGGTGATGCATCATTCATGTTCCCTATGCCCATGATCCTTGACCAGACAGAATGCTTTCCGATTGTTGTTTGTCAGAACAATGAAAGGAACAAAGGTGTTCAGGGGAATTCTGCCGGACAGGAAACATGGCAGCCAGTGGAACAGCGCAGGGCCTTTAATCCTACTTAGAAATATGCAAACAAATTAGATGTCATAAATATTTTGGGGGAGAGGGACTGGGCTTCCTTCCTCCTTAAGCTTATTTCCCCTTTTTTCAAAGCCAGCTTCTGTATCAAGGAAAAGGGGAGGTAGGAGGTGGGGAATCACTCCTCTCCTTTCCCCTCCCCTTAGTATCACTTTATAATATATTGCTTTTCTTTCACTACAAGCACAGTATTCCCAGGGTTCTCTTTCTCATTAGCAGGATCTGAGAGCTAAAGTAAGCATGGCGCTAAATGTGTCCCTCTTTGATTTCTGCTTTATTTTAATAGTTAAGAGCTACTGCAAGAAGCGCCATTTTCACTGAGATCATGGCACATGGGAAGATAGGTTCTTTTTAAAAATTGAGTGGTTTATTCTCTGCCCTTCAACATTTACCAAAAGAATTAAATCCTTTTTTATCTGGCCCTGCTTAGAAATCACTCCCTTGTGATAGCTGTTAACCCTGGAAGCTCCCACTAGCATCAGTTAGCTTCAGGAGCAATATTCATCAAGATCACTACAAATCAGAAAAAGGAGAAACTTCTTCCCAACATCTCATATTATTTAGGAACATTTCTGCACAAAGACAAAGCTCTGAAGGTGGTAGGCAGGGGGATCTTCAGGGAGGGTCAAAAAGACAATATGGCAGTAGCGATTATGCAATCAAAACCTTACTTTTTAAAAATGTGTGTTTGTGCATGTGATACACATTAAAAAGAAACAAAACCTGCCGTTTTGTTCGTGGCTGGCATCTTGACTTTTTTGATCCCCCTGCAAATGCCCCTGATGGTGGGCACTGCTGAAGTGGGCAATGAAACCATTCTGAGTGCCAGAGATTTCAGCCAAATATGTGGTGGTTTTCTTTTCCTGGCATTTGTTTTGTTTTGCTTTGCTTTGTTTTTTGAGGACCAAGGCAGGATGGGAAGCAAGCAAAGCACGTGGAAACAGTCAATATTTGAAGTTTCTTAGCTATGAAAAAAGAAAGACGGAACGCAAAATGGATATGGATTTATGCACACTGTGTAGTAAATGGGAAGGGAGACAATTTGCTTACCCTTTTAAGACTAGAAGCTGAGTTTATCGAAAGAAACAGCATGTGGGGAGAATTAGGAAGTACTTTTTCATACAGGGCTTAATTAACCAATGGAGCTTGCTACCGCATGATGCAGTGACGGACATCAACTTGGACAACTTTAAAGGGGGAGTGCAGTAGGCTATGGAAATCTTCAGTTCAAAGATAGGATTCAAAACTGATTTGATCAAATCTCTGAACGGTAGGAACCAGATTGGAACCAATACCTATTAGACAGATTCATGGAAGATAAGGTTATTCAGGGTTACTAATAATAATGGCTAAATTATCTCCAGTCATCAAAGCCATATAACTCTCAATGGTAGTTGCTGAGGAACCCAAAAAGGACACTGTTGAGTTTCCACAGATACCCTGTCCACTCATGAAAAGAATATTGGACTATATGGGCCTGTGGTCTGATTCAACAAATTCTGTGTACTCAAGAGAAGACAATATGTATATCTTTACAAACAAACTGTAATCTTACACTCACAATGACAAAAAAATTACAGGGACAAAAATTATAATTGTGATCAGAGTTATATTATCCAATTTCAAGCCAAAAGGAAAGAATACTAGGACAAGCCCAGACCTTATGCATATTCACATTCTAAACTATCAGAGGTCCATAATCAAGCTTGATTGTTTGCTGAGGCACCCCATTAATAGTTTATATTGATGGGATAACTGGGGGGTTTGATCCTGAATTAAGAAACTCAAGGTACAATAAGGAGACCACTCCCCCTTCAGAGAGAGAAATATATCGTAACAATTCTCAAGTGAATTATACTGCATCACCTACAGTATTTGCCAATCATATTTCGTATCTCAGTGAGAGAGTTCTTATTTGCTCTAATTTTGTTGATGGGGAACAAAGGCAGGGAGAAGGAAGCTTATACAAAGCTGGCAAGACAAGAATGCTATGGATTTCCAAGTCTGATTCCAACAGTAGGTCCTATAGGCTTTTACTGGCCTCATCCACACAGCCTCTTTGCAGAGGCGGAAATCATGTCAGCGTACATCACATTGCCCTCACAGCATGCCCTTAATATGCATTCCGAATGGGGCTATGCTGGGCTGCTGTCCATACAGCTCCTATGTGTGACACAATAAGGACAGTGACTGGCAATTTTCTATGGGTGAAATTCAAACATCACAACCACAGGAAAAGCCACCACCAATCACTGTACAGAACATATGCCATGGTGGTGCTTATAACATCAGACTGCTCCAACCAATCAATTTGTTTTCTATTTTTTCTCCAAAGACTATCAACCTATTGACCTAATGGCCACTAGATGGAAGTAAAGAGACCGTCTCTCTTAACTATTCAGAGTCCTGCTGGATTGGAGCAATATATAACTCCCTCTAAACATAATGGTCATCTGGCTTAGTGCAGATGTAGGCATCTCACAAATGTTTTTGGAGCTGGAGATCACAAAAGGTGTTTTGATGTAGTTCTGGGGTGCTCTTGGGTACAGAGATTTAGGAGAAGAAAAACATCAACTGTATGTTGATGCTATATCTGCATCAAGTTACATTTTATGTTGGAATGAACCTTTTAAAGAACATTCGATGAGAGGGGAAACGGAGGAATTAGGGCTTCCCTAAGAGCAGTGGGCACTGGGAAGGGAATTCCTCACCCTGCGGACTAGAGAAGCATGAGAGCCAAATCTCTTCTTTTACACTTCCAGATATATGTGTGAAACTCAGTCTGGGGTAGTCAGTTTCAGGACTTATACTCTCTAAGTGGTGGAGGAGGTGGGAGGAGAGGAATAATGGTAGTGGTGTCAGTGTAGTAGCTACAGAAGTCAGGTTTTTGTCTCCCTTGCAACCAAAACAGCACTGCAGAACAGGTACCAGCCCATGGATGAACAGAAGAGGGTAGTCCAACATCAGACCAGCTGAGCCAACTGTAGTCAAGCAGGTAGGCACCCCAACCACATCACCTGAAACCTCCACCTCCATGCACCGTGGCTTGGCCAGATGTGAAACAGAATAGGGTTTACAGTAACACATTATGCTTACTCCAATAAAAAACGAGGAAGTCCCCTAGTTTACCCTGCCATGAGTTCATGAGATACTCATGACTAATACAACATATGTCCTTGTTCAGTAATTGTGCAAAATGATGGAATACATATTGGTCAGGCACATATATTCCTTACAGCAATGGAATTTGAAAAGTGAAAATACCTTACTAACAGGATACAAAAGGTCTGATCACTCTGAATCCCATCCCAGGTTGTACCTTAAAAAAAATTTAGCTTCTGAAGTAAAGTCACTTTCCATTATATTTCCAATAAATAACATATTTAACATCCCCAGCCCTGAAGTCTCGATCTCTGCCATCAGTTTCAGCCATTAACTCACTTTCATCAGATCCCGGTGATGTTCCAGCACGCTGCAAGTGGTCTGCCAAGTATCCTGATAACATTCCCAGGGATCCACCCTATGATGAGGAAGAAGTTAGAAAAATCTGACTTGGTTGTTGCAAATAACAATTATGTTTTTAATATTAGTATAAGCCATTTGACTGTAAACATTTATTTACACCATTTCATCTGAAAGGAAGTCAAAACCCTGAATGTAAGGCAATCTTTTCTCCCAAAGAAATCAGACAGAAAAAAGTTTATAGGCACAGCCAAGAACGTGCACTTGGCTCAGCTTCTCTATCTAGTCCAGTGTTTCTCAACCTTAGCAGCTTTAAGATGTGTGGACTTCAACTCCCAGAATTCCCTAGCCAGCATGCTGGCT